TTTTTTTTTTTTTTAAATGGAAACAATGTGTCCCTTATCTCCCAATGTAGGGCATAATTTTGTGGAAAAAAGGGGATATAAGTATAATGCTACCAAGAAATTCAGCATGTAATATGACATTTATAATCCTTTTCAAGATAAAGGGAAAATTGTAAAATTACTTAGGAAACAAAGTGTCATTCACCCCCAAAAACAAAAGACAACATCACCTGTCTGCAATCGTTTATTAAATTCATGACCTGTAAAGAATAAAGATATTGTTAGCTTCTTATACTCATGAAAATAACAATACCCGAAAAAAACTAAAAACATTAGTTATTAGCAATCAACGCACTCAAGGATTCTTCATGCTAAGGTCCACACTGATAATTAGATTTTTCAACTCCTTCATCACTTTATAGCTCCACCCACAGCTATATTTTTTAATCTTGTTTACACGAGCCTCCTCTAAGATACTTTAAAATTTTCCATTAAAGATCACATTGATAACATATAGAGTAAATCCAGATTGGTTTAGTGGTAGAACATGTGGGTAAGATGTGAGTGTGTCCGTTCGGAGTTTAAGTCTCACTAATTAACATGGGTTTATCTGATGTGCGTGTGATTATGTGTATCCAAGTTTGTTTTGCAACTATGAGACTCAAAAACATTTGGTTGAAACGATTCCCATCGCACCAAAAAAAAAAAAAAACCTGCAATAGTTAATAGTGCAAATGCCAAATTGCTGTTGGGTTTTTTATTTGGAATAATATTTTTAGACCTAAATATTTGACCAAATATACTAACTTCATGATGTGGTTATATTATAATTATTGTATCAACACTAAGTTCTAATGTTTGATTGGGCTACAGTCAATCCAATGATCATTGAATTAGGACAACAAATTAAGCGAATAAATTAGACCCACTAGCATTGCTCATTTAATTAAGTAGTCGATGATAACTCTTAGAATTCTTCTCCTTCTAAGTGAAGGAGTTTGATGTTTCCTATGTGAACTAAATTTAAAGCAAAACATAAAATAAATAAAATACCTTGGAGTGTTTTGGATGTGGCAACACATTCAGTTTCATGTTCTGTGGTATTATCCTTCAATCTACAAATCTTGCCTTCAGCTTCACAGAAGCTGCAATTTGGTTTCGACCAACTCAACTGAAGCTTACCTCTTTGATCAAATATATTATAGGGCACCGATTGTAAGTCATGAATCTTGATGCAAGATGTCAAAGGATAATCATCGACTGTCTCCATAGACCATATGGCATACACCTGGTAGGCGGAAGCTCGAAGGCAAGGAACCGAGTCATGAATTTGTCTGCCTGGTGCAGAACAATTGAATAACGAGTAATTACCTAAGTATATTTCATTGAACTGGAAAGGAGAGGCAGACAAGTTGAGGTTTGGAAGCTTTGCCGGAACGCAGCCATCTGGGTCATACAATCGAATAACTTGAGATTTATAATCAATTTTCTTGACAAATAGCTTCACAGAAAAGGGAAGATCAAGGATTGTTTGTTTGTTCTTGTCACAGGACAGCTCGAACCCAGGATAGCGGTAGCGATCTAAGTGGAAACCTTTAACCCAGAATGGAAATCTGATTGATGGCCCATTGTGACGGCACCTGCGCTCACCTTCTTGAGCTGCTTCAAGGTTTGGAGGNAAAATTAATTCCACATGGTTAGCCTACCTGGTGCGTGTTTCGTGTTTCTACTTTAATACAGCTATTGTATACCTATTTCTTATCGATGGGTGAATGTGTTCCTCCTGCTAAGTTATTCGCAATACATACACCTCCTACCCCACTTTTCACTGAACTTGCATAAAATAAATGAGGCATCATTCTAAAAGTTCCATGCCTAGGAGTCGAGATGGGCTTCGACGGCCAACATAGCGTCATCCCAAAAGTAAAATCCAAAAAACAATGACTTAGCCCACTCACAAAAAGACCTCTTAGAGCAAAAAAAAAAAAAACGACCTCATTATTTATAAATCCATAATATAATTCAAACAAAAACTTTAAACTCATAACAACATAAGCCCCACAAAAAACTCATTTAAGTTTAAACCTGACAAAGAGAGTGCTAAATTAAATGGCCTACACCCATTAAGTAGTCTGGTAAGACTCCTCTCCAATTTTAAAATAACTGGAGAATGTTTCAATTATTTTTAAATGTTGAAGACCTATCAAATTCGATGTAATTAAGTTCAAATATTAATTGGTTCCAAATCATTATTTAATCTATATAGATCATCATTAATATTTCTAGAAATTGATGATTGCATCATGATTGATAAGACAATAATAACCAAATGACAGAAAAAATTAAAATAAAGAAGAAAAAGATAAATAATATTGTCTTCCACACAGGGACGGAGCTATATAAGCCATGGCTTGGGGTGGCCATGGCTTCCCTATAATTTGTATAACTTGGGGTTCATAAGATGGTTGCCGAAGAGTTTTATATGTCAAAGAGACTTGGCCTCTCCTTTGATAACTTACCTATCGGTACAAGAGAAGATATGTGGACCAATTAACTATGAGACAATTACATACTATTTTATTTTTTTCTAATTAGATCAATAAAAATTGTTCTTTTCCTATTGACTCCATAAAAATATCTCCTTGGTAAATGGAGAAGCAACAAAAAAATAACACTTTCTAAAATTTGATAACATATACAGTAAATCCATATTGGTTTAGTGGTAGAACATGGAGTAAGATGTGAGAGTGTATTCTGAGTTTAAGTCTACTAATTAACACAAGTTTGCGTGTGATTATGTATATCCGCGTTTGTTTTGCAACTGAGGCTCAAAAACATTTGGTTGAAACGATTCCCATCACAAGAAAAAAAAACTTGCAATAGTTAATAGTGCAAATGTCAAATTGTTGTTTGGTTTTTCAGATTTTTTTTTGAGCAGTCAGTCATAACTCTTATAATTCTGCTCTTTCTTAGTGAAGGAGTTTAACATTTCCTATGCCAAGTGTCAACTGAAGTTAAAGCAAAAGATGAAATAAATAAAGGACCTTTGAATGTCTTGGATTTGGCAATACATTCAGTTTCATGTTCTGTGTTATAATTCTTCGATCTACAAATTTTGCATTCAGCTTCATAGTAGCTAAAATTTGNAGTTTCATGTTCTGTGTTATAATTCTTCGATCTACAAATTTTGCATTCAGCTTCATAATAGCTAAAATTTGGTTTTAACCAGCTCAACTCATTACAAGAAAAATGTTTTTTAGTGGCAAAAAAAAATTATCGCTAAAAATGAATAATTCGTTGCCACAAGTTTTTTGCGACAAAAAAACTTGGTTGTCAGTTTGTCGCGACAGGCTCGTCACTGAAATTTTTTGACGACCAACTAAAGTATCGTCGCTAAAGTAGATTATCAGTGACAAAAAAATTAGTCGCTTAAAAATTTATTTACTTATCACAAAAAAACTTTCGTCGCCGAAAGAAATTATATTATGTTCATATTTTTTCTCTTTGGTAATGACATAATATTTGTCGCTGAAAATCAAGGTACATTTTTTGCGACTAACNGGTTTTTTAAATAAAATTGATATTTTGCTTAAAAATTATTTCAAAAAAACAATAAAAATGTCTACTTACTTTCCAAATCAAGTTTTGTGTTGTGATTTTTTTCATTGATTGACTTTTACTATTCAAGTCACGACTGGCCCAACTCGTCGTGTTGGCACCAAATGAGGTTGATTGGTTGATTCTCACATTCCACATATATAGAAGAGATAAGGGTGGGAGACTTTTTTCCTCTTGTTTTAATTTTTTCCAAGAACCCAAACTTTGGTGCACTAGTTCAAAATTAGTTATTATCTAAAATGACTGCACTCATGGAGAAGAAACACGGACTAGGACTTTAAAGCGACCCACGGACTTTTACTTGGTGACCTTTGCACCAAAACTGGGTTGATGCCCATAATCCACACACTAGTGATAAAGGTGGGACCTTTCTCACCCCTTATCGCTTCTCTTGTTTTGCCTCCTTAGAAGACTAATCGATGTCAATACAAGTAGTTGGTGTACCAGGTCATTAAGCAAACAAAAAAGAGTTTTTGGTCATTATCGGGTTACATGTTGTGAAATTTTTTTAATCACAATAACACCCTCCGAGACTCTCTCTCTCAACTTGGGAAAAATAAATCTCGATACCTTCAATTACACGCAAATCATATGTATCTATTTTGTTGATAAAATGCCAAGAAAGGAAATCAAAATTAAGACATTTAAGTATATGGCACAATATAAATTAATTCCACATGGTTAGCCTACCTGGTGCGTGTTTCGTGTTTCTACTTTAATACAGCTATTGTATACCTATTTCTTATCGATGGGTGAATGTGTTCCTCCTGCTAAGTTATTCGCAATACATACACCTCCTACCCCATTTTTCACTGAACTTGCATAAAATAAATGAGGCATCATTCTAAAAGTTCCATGCCTAGGAGTCGAGATGGGCTTCGACGGCCAACATAGCGTCATCCCAAAAGTAAAATCCATAAAACAATGACTTAGACCACTCACAAAAAGACCTCTTAGAGCCAAAAAAAAAAAAAAATNCACGGACTTTTACTTGGTGACCTTTGCACCAAAACTGGGTTGATGCCCATAATCCACACACTAGTGATAAAGGTGGGACCTTTCTCACCCCTTATCGCTTCTCTTGTTTTGCCTCCTTGGAAGACTAATCGATGTCAATACAAGTAGTTGGTGTACCAGGTCAANTTCTCTTGTTTTGCCTCCTTAGAAGACTAATCGATGTCAATACAAGTAGTTGGTGTACTAGGTCATNAATCCACACACTAGTGATAAAGGTGGGACCTTTCTCACCCCTTATCGCTTCTCTTGTTTTGCCTCCTTAGAAGACTAATCGATGTCAATACAAGTAGTTGGTGTACCAGGTCATTAAGCAAACAAAAAAGAGTTTTCGGTCATTATCGGGTTACATGTTGTGAAATTTTTTTAATCACAATAACACCCTCCGAGACTCTCTCTCTCAACTTGGGAAAAATAAATCTCGATACCTTCAATTACACGCAAATCATATGTATCTATTTTGTTGATAAAATGCCAAGAAAGGAAATCAAAATTAAGACATTTAAGTATATGGCACAATATAAAATTAATTCCACATGGTTAGCCTACCTGGTGCGTGTTTCGTGTTTCTACTTTAATACAGCTATTGTATACCTATTTCTTATCGATGGGTGAATGTGTTCCTCCTGCTAAGTTATTCGCAATACATACACCTCCTACCCCACTTTTCACTGAACTTGCATAAAATAAATGAGGCATCATTCTAAAAGTTCCATGCCTAGGAGTCGAGATGGGCTTCGACGGCCAACATAGCGTCATCCCAAAAGTAAAATCCAAAAAACAATGACTTAGCCCACTCACAAAAAGACCTCTTAGAGCAAAAAAAAAAAAAACGACCTCATTATTTATAAATCCATAATATAATTCAAACAAAAACTTTAAACTCATAACAACATAAGCCCCACAAAAAACTCATTTAAGTTTAAACCTGACAAAGAGAGTGCTAAATTAAATGGCCTACACCCATTAAGTAGTCTGGTAAGACTCCTCTCCAATTTTAAAATAACTGGAGAATCTTTCAATTATTTTTAAATGTTCAAGACCTATCAAATTTGATGTAATTAAGTTCAAATATTAATTGGTTCCAAATCATTATTTAATCTATATAGATCATCATTAATATTTCTAGAAATTGATGATTGCATCATGATTGATAAGACAATCATAACCAAATAACAGAAAAAATTAAAATNTTTGACAAAAATTTTATGACCGAAAAATTATTTTGGGGACAATTTTTTTGTCGCCCATAAAATTAGCATTTAGCGCCAACATTGGCGCCAATTTTTTTTTTGGAGGGAACGTCTTTGCGAAGACTATTGGCGACAACTACAAAAAATAGTCCCCAAAAATATCATAAAAAAGTTTATTACGACAAACATTTGAAATTATCGCCGAAAATAATTTTTTTATAACAAATTTTATTATTCGTCGCCAAAACTCGTCACTTAAAAACAAATTTGTTGTAGTTTCTGAAGCTTACCTCTTTGATTAAATATATTATAAGTGATGGGACGTTTTCCTGATCAAAGGGGGGGCGACATGTGTCCTCGGCATCCTGTCTACTCAGTGTTCTTTGGTTTACACGTGTCATTAGCATCTTGTTCGTGGATTCCTTGACATCTATCTTGTCCACAGAGTGTTCTTTGGATGACAGGTGTCCTCAGCATCTTGTTTGTGGAGTATTCTTTTGATAACACACGTCCTTGGCATCCTGCCCGTAGAGTGTTCTTTGGTTGACACGCGTCCTCGAAATTTTGTATGTGGAATGCTCTTTGGGTGACACATGTCCTCGGCATCTTATCCGCAGAGTGTTCTTTGGATGACACGCGTCCTCGACATCTTCTCCGCAGAGTGTTCTTTGGATAACACGCGTCCTCGGCATCTTTTCCGCGGAATCCTTTACATCTTGTCTGCGGAGTCTTCTTCGAATGACACGCGTCCTTGGTATCTTGTCCACGGAGTGTTCTCCTGTTGGAAGCTAGTCCCCCCACCATAAGGNTTTTTTTACTGTCAGTTGTATTTACCTAAAAAAAGAGGATTTTTTAGTCAAATCTCACATAAAACTCAAACTTTAAGGCTAAAAAAAAGGCAAAAGGTCACTGACTTTTATAGGCAAGTTTGCCCTCCCCATCTCACCTCATTTGCTGATGTGGGACAGAAAAAAAGACATTGATTTGTTNAAAATTTCAAGTAGGCGACCTGGTGCTCAGAAGGGTAGTTGGGAACACTCGAGATTCGGCCAATGGGAAGATGAGACCTAACTGGGAGGGACCATACAGAG